GACGGACGGCAAGCACAAAGGTCGCTGGTCTCGACCTGGACTACGCACTGTGGATTGGTAAGCGGGAGCTCAAGGCACCTTGGGCGCTCAACTTTCAGAATTATGTCCGGGCCAGACTCCGGAAGTCAGCGCAGATCCTCACGGAGAGGGAACGACGCCCAGCCATCAGGAGAAGACAGCGAACGACAAGGACGATGGATGGGAGTGCCTTCCTGAGGAGGTCAAGACGGCCAAGACAGACAAGCCCAAGAAGCGAGCCGGCAAGGACAAGACCGGGAGCAGCAAGGACATGAACATCGAAGTCAACCACGAGGACTTGGCTCAGCGGCGTGCGCTCCTGCAGCGCGAGTTGGTTCAGATCGAGAAGATCGAGAAGCAAGCGCGGCAGCAGTCGCAGCAGCACCCGGACGAGTCCGAAGAGGAGGGCTGAGCTGTTCAGGGAACCCTGCTGCCCTGAGACCTTTGGATGCCCAAACGGTGGCATTATGTGAGCAGATTGATGGGCGGATTCGAGAGATCGAAAAGAATTTGCAGTCCCAGATCGAGGCCGAGGCCTCCCATCAATCCAAATATGTGATGCCAGCTTTGGATGTTCTGGAGATCACCGCAGGGGTTGGCAATGCAGTCTGTATAGCCGTAAGGCAGAAAGGAGGAAGGGCCTTGGTTTTCAATCAAGTAAAGCACCTAGATGATCATTCGGGGTCAGCAGACCGACTCTGGAAGATCATTCAGTTCTACGAGCCCAAGCATGCGTGGGTTGATGTCCAGACACCATGGCAACCCAGCCACTTTGGCCAGCTCGACTTTTGGTAGAGATCTTCCTGTGTCAAATGGAAAATGGCCGGCATTTTCACCTGAATGGGGGGCCAAGTTTCTTTAACCATATGCCGCCGGAGATCCGATACAGGAGGGCACTCTGCAGCTGAGAGCCGGATGCGCCAAGACTCGCATGAGACCCCACAATGTTATCCACACCACCTCCCGCCACATGCACCACAAGCTGGACAAGAGATTTCCCAACAACAAGTCAGCGGCAGCATCCGGGTCGAGCACCCACGCAAGGACACCACGAGCACCACAACACACGCAAGCACTTCAGCCTCGCACATTTTTGCAAGTCAGGTAGCCGGGTGTCTTCTAGAGTCCGGGGATGTTCCGCTACTGGTCTCAGAAATCTTAGTGGGTGCGAGCAGTGGGATAGAAGGCTCTGATCCAGAACATGCTGTCCGTCATGTGTTTAAAAGACGCAGGATGAATGGCAAACAACCCGTGCCGGGATCTGTTCTCGAAGCCCCTCGTAGGGAAAGCACTTGGAAAGATGTGTTTCAATCGGTTAATGCGGATGTTCCCCCTAAGGGTCGGGTCTACTATGATGAGGGCAGCCCAGTGATAGAACAGATTCAAGCACTAGTTCCGCAGTTCATTGTCAGACATGCCGTTTTCTGCAGAGGGACCGTCCGAGTTCAAGGGGCCCAGGCAGGATATGATATTGACAGAATTCCCCTAAGGAAGACTATGGTAGTTAAGCGGGATACTGGGGAGATAGTCGAAGATGGGCCCACGGAGAACTGGACAAGGATTCCAAAGTACCACCGCGGACGGAAAGGGATTCCTGCTCGCTTCAGTGTTACGGTTTTCGGGGCGCCTAGAGACGTTGAGCCTAGTGTAAGGGAACCCCAAAGAGCAAGCGGCAGTGATTCCGTTCCGGCTGTGAGGCCAGAAGTTGAGTCAGCGACCGAGGCTGTGGAAAATCCAGGCCCTGCAGTTTTAGAGCAAGCGATTCCAAGCAGCGAGCCAGTCAGCATGGAAACGGAGATGCCAACGGATGTTCCAAAGGGTTTAGAAGTAGGGTTTCCTCCCCGAGCTATTCCCCGGCATGGGCCAGGATATATGTCCTTGAACACTGAAGAGAGGAGGCAGTTAGTTAGGCTACGCAACAATTTGGGACATCCTGAGGCGACGCTGTTCATGAAATTTCTAGCCGAGCGCAAAGCAGAGTCGAAGTTTGTCAGAGCTGCTGGGGATTACAGTTGCAGTGCATGTCTTGAGTCCATTCCTAAGCCAAAGAGTGCACGGCCTTCCGCCATACATGGGGACGGGGATTTCGGGGATGTCCTAGGGCTAGACGTAGCCTATTGGAAGAGTAGACGGGGTCAGACGTACATGTTCACCCATGTCATTTGTGAGTCCACGTTGTTTCACATGGCGGTGGGGGCCGGCAGGTCGCCAGAAGAACAGTTTTCGGCATTGACCGATAGATGGTTTTCTTTCGCAGGGGTACCCCAGATGATTTATGTGGATCCAGCAGGGGAGTATACTTCAGAATTCTGGAAAGAGCAGTTACAGCGAGGGAACATAAAGTCTCGGGTCAGTGCTGCCGAATCGCACTGGCAACTTGTGGAGGCACACGGCAAAATCATCAAGGAAATTCTTAGCCGCATGGACTCCGAGCACGAAATTGTGGAGTTTCGGTTGTGTTTGTGCCAAGCAGTTTGGGCCAAAAATAGTCTGAGCCGTGTAAAGGGATATACTCCCCAACAAGCGGTCTTCGGGAAGATGTCTAGGCTTCCTGGGTCTATAGTGTCAGATGAGGACGCTTCTGCTCATTCCCTAGCTTCGAGCGAGTCTCCGGAAGGCGTTTCCTTTCGCCGAAGCCTCCAGAGGAGGGAACAGGCGAGGGTTGCATTCGTAAAGGCGGATAACGATAATTCCTATCGAAGGGCTTTGCTTAGGCGTTCTCGTCCTCCCTGTCAAACTCTTGAGGCCGGCGATTGGATTCTTTATTGGCGAGTACAGAAGGGAGGAGGCAGTAGAGGCAAAGGCCGATGGCATGGACCGGGTCAGGTTATTTGCAGCGAGGGCAGCAAGGTAGTATGGGTCAGCCATGGTGGCCAGCTGATAAGAGTCTCCCCAGAACAAATAAGGTCGGCCTCCGTGAGAGAATGGAGGACAGTTGTTTCGCAGCATGGCACAGCTCCGGATTCGTCGAACTCAGGACCATTGGCACCACAGTCTGGGATTCGAAACGTAGTGGACCTTGTGGGGGCCGGGGTGTTGCCAAGTAGGGACGAAGTAGATCGGGAAGGGGATGTTCCAATGGGGCCGATTACGGAATCCGGAGAGAATGCGGTAGAGGCACTTCATATTCCAGGTCCTGAGCCAGACCCCGACTTGTTGGAATATAGTCCTGATGCACTTGGAAACAGTGGTGAGGATGGTGCACAGCCTGAACATGAAGTTTCACCTACTGCGTCTAGGGCAGGTGAGACCGGGCCAGATGCAGTGATGGAAAGTGCGCGAGCCAGAGTTCCATGAAATTCCAGTACCGGTAGATGATGATGATGACCTGTTGTTTGGAGACACCGAATGCTTTCTGGCATTTCCAGACAAAGGACAGGTCTGGGAGATGACACTGCGTGAGACCCAGGTAGACATGTCAAATTTGCCGTCTGCTCAGCAAGCTTTGGAGTACGTTATGTTGGCTACCCCTGATAGGAAGAAGCGGGTAGAAGTCAAGATGCGTGACCTGACCAGCTCTGAGCAAGAGCAGTTTGTACAGGCCAAGGGCAAAGAGGTAGGGGCTTCGCTCAGTCATCAGACAGTGCGCCGCGTAGCAGCCGGGATGTTGGCTGATGAGCAACTTTTACGGTGTCGATGGATCCTTACCTGGAAACCTCCTGAACAGCATGGTGGTCCCCGTAGGGCTAAGGCAAGGTTAGTAGTGCTAGGGTTTGAGGATCCGGGTTTGGGGGAGATCCCGAATGATGCGCCGACACTAGGGGAAGATGCTCGTCAGCTCATTCTCCAGAAAGTGGCGGCCAATAGGTGGACGCTGATCAATTTTGACATTTCCACCGCTTTTCTGCAAGGCCAAGGAGATGGCCGGACCTTGGGTATCCATCCTCCAGAGGAAATTAGACAGGCCTTAGACATGAAGCCAGGAGACCAGTGTCAGTTAATGGGTGGGGCGTACGGCAGGATAGATGCACCTTTCTTGTGGTTTCAGACTTTAAAAGGGACACTGGAAAATCTCGGCTTTGTGCAAAGCCCTTTTGATGCATGTACCTTCAGCCTGATCACTCAGGACGCCCACGGCAAGCCTAAAGTGCATGGGGTTCTAGGTATTCATGTGGATGATGGCCTAGGGGGAGGGGATGAGTATTTCCGAATGGTGGTCCAAAAGCTTCCGGATAGGTATAGTTTTGGGTCATATGACGAGGGCGAGTTCACGTTCACAGGCATTCATTTTAAGCAGTGGGACGACGGGAGCATAGAGTATGATCAGCATGAATATTTGGAGCGCATTCAGCCAGCGCGTGTCCCTAAGCAGCGGAGGGCTGAACCAGACTCTCCTTTAACTCCAGATGAAGTTCATGAGCTGCGCCGACTGAATGGCAGCATCCAATACGCTGCTGTTCACTCCAGACCCGACTTGGCAGCAAAGGTCGGAATGCTTCAGTCAGCAGTTCCAAAGGCAAGGGTGTCACATTTGTTGGAAGCCAATCGACTTTTGCACGAGGCCAAATCGCACCCAGTCTCACTCATGACAGTTCCCATTCCGGAAGCTCACGTAACGTTCTGCACGTTCTCAGACGCTTCTTTTGCAACTAGCAAGGATAGCAATTCCTATCAAGGGACACTGGTCGTAGCTACGGATTGGAGAATGTTGTCAAATGAGAAGGCCGTGATTGCTCCTTTGGCATGGTCAAGCCGGAAAATCGCCCGGGTGGTACGAAGCACCTTGAGTGCGGAGGTCGTCGCACTTTGTAACTCAGTGGACCGCATGTCATGGATTCGGCTCTTCTGGGGGTGGATGAAAGATCCCTCCGTAGACATTTCCCAGCCGGATCAAGTACTGAAGGGTTCTCCTCAAGCAGCTTTGGTAACAGACTGTAAAAGCGCCTTTGATATCGCGACAAAGACAGCCATTCCTAGCTGTTCTGAGCTTAGGACCCAGCTAGAGTGCTTGCTGCTACGGGAGAGACTTCAGGAAAACTGCCAGATGCGGTGGGTTCATTCGAAGGCAACGCTAGCGGATTGTCTGACCAAGATGATGGATGGTAGTGAGCTCCGTAAGTGCCTAGCCAGTGGGTATTATGCTCTGTTTGATGAAGGGAAGATACTGGCGGAGCGTTTGGGCAAACGACAATCGCTGCAGTGGCTTCGCAAGGAACCAGTGCAAGCGTCGCCTTTCAAAATTTAGTTTTTGACGAGTGTTAAACCAATGCCGAAACCAGGTGACGCTTGCCAACAGCACTGGGGCTCAGAGGGCAGGGTGGGATGTGCTTGAAGGAAAGAAGGTGAGCAGGGCTCAGGCTTCGGGAATAGGACAGGGTCCTTTAAGTGTAGGAGGGTCGGGGCACCCTAGGCTAAGACTTTGGGGTCTGTAGGGGCAGGACCGGGCTACCTTATTCACATTGGTAGCGGAGCCCGGCCTGTCATAGTGGGGGTTAGACCACTGTGTAAACAGGGGAGTTCCGGGGTTGACACCCTAACTTGGGGGAAACAGGTTAGGAGTGTAAAGCATAGCCAGCGCCGAAGCCATGGGCACAGAAGCAGAGACTGGAACTGGGGGCGGACCCCCAAGTCACCTTCCACTGCAACTGATCCCTCGCTTCTCTCCTGGGGTGACAAACGTGGACGAGTATGTGAAGAGACTACAGTTCTTGAAGGAGCTGTGGCCAGTGGAGCACTTGTCGCTTTTGGGACCTCGAGCAGCCCTACTTGTCGAAGGGGCCGCTTTCCAGAAGGTGAGCCGTATATCACCGGAGAAGCTTAAGAGTGCGGATGGAATCAAGATCTTGGCGGAACAGCTTGGCGGCTCCTGGGGTCGACTGCAGGTGAAAGACAAGTTCCACTATTTCGAGCAGGCCATCTTCCAGACCCAACAGAAGCACGACGAGACAAATGATTCCTACATCGCACGGCACGACGCCCAGTTCGAAGAGTTGTTGTCGAGACAGGTGAGCTTGGAAGAAGTCCGTGCTTACGTGTTGCTGCGACATTCGCAGTTGGCACCGGAGGATAAGAAACGTGTTATCGTGGAATCCAAGGGTGACCTGAAGTATGCGGAGACAATCAAGGCAATACGCTTGCTCGGATCGCGTTTCTTTGGAGAGCTGCAGTCCAAGAATGGGCCCGGGACAGGGTCCGGAAGGGGATCGGAAAGGTCCAAAGTGTACGACGTGAACATGACCGAGGCGGAGCACTCAGAAGAAATCAACCTGGCGGCCCAGGAGGACGAAGTGGACGAAGAAGAGGTTTTCGCCTATTTCTTCGAGCAGTGCGACAAGGATGCTCTCTACATTGCTGAGTTTGAGGACGGCATCATAGAGGCTGTTCAGGAGTCAAATCTTGCCCCGGTGTTCTCGGCTTACCAAGAAGCCAGAAGCAGACTGCGGGAGAAAGCGCGATCCCGTGGGTTTTGGCCTTTGAGCAAGGGAGCCGGCAAGAACCCGAAGGGCAAGGGCTACAGCAAGAAGGGGCAGAGCTTCGGAAAGGGGAGGCGTCCCCGCGCACTGGCAGAGCGTATCTCGACAAGCGCCTGTCGCTTGTGCGGCGCTGTTGGACATTGGAAAAGGGAATGTCCAAGGAATCCCGACAACCAAGGCGGCAGCAGCAAGATGGAGGTATCCAACATGGCCGTTTTGGACAAGGACGACGACGACAGCAACAGCGAGCCCTCACCAGAATTTCTCCAAGAACTGCCGGAAGACACGATCATGTACATGGATGACCTTAGCCTGGCCGAGGACCAGGCCACCGCGGCAGAGCAACAGGCAGGAGAACTAATTAATCAACATGAGCATTTCTGCTTCATGACGCCTGAGGTGCAGTCAGGCAGATGTATAGGTGATGCTCTTGCAAGCAAGTTGTTAACGATTGCCAGGCCACGTGCCAGCAGATCTCTGGGGACCAGAAGATCGACGACTGAGGTTCGGAAGCAGCACGAGCATGGCCCTCCCAGACCCGATAGCCACCACCTAAAGGAGACTGTGTTGATAACTACCGTTGGAGCTGAGGGTGTTGTAGACACTGGGGCCAGTAGGACTGTTGTGGGCAGTGATCGGGTCAAAGGGATTTTGGCAAGTTTGAGCACAGAGTGCCGTCGCAACATCAGGCAGGTGGCTTCGAAGGTGACCTTCCGTTTTGGAAACAGTGGCACGCTGGACTCAAAACATGCTTTGCTGATTCCCACCTCAGGCAGCGCTTGGATCAGAGTGGAAGTGGTTCAGGGTGCGACTCCTTTGTTAATTTCGAATAGGTTGCTAAGGGAGCTTGATGCCATTATCCATGTCCGACGGGGTCTGATTGAGATTTCGGGGGCCTATGTTCGAATGAGGGTAGATTCTAAGGGTCTGTCCGTTGTAGATTTTGCCGAGTTGATGCAGCATGCCACCGCCGCAGCAGACACTTTGTTGGCAGAAAGCAAGACAGACACAGCTACTGTGAAACAAGCAGCAAGCATCAGGAGCAACAAAGGGAGCGCAACAGATCCCAGCACCATATCCACTTTGAGCACGCCACCGCCTTCAGCGGATCAACATCCACAATCTTTGTGCAAAGTGCCCGTTCCCGAGCTTCACTCCTCTCAGCATGCCGTCGGCAGCCGAAAAGAAGACCCTCGCGAAGGCCCTCGAGAGCGTGCGGGACCAGGTGAATGCCGAGGGCGACTTGTCTGGAGAAGAGGATGTACGCGTGGTGGCGTCGGTGGATCTCAGCGAGTACCGGAATGTCAAGTACAACCGTCCTCCCGGGATATCCGCCATGGATGCCTGGGGCAAAGTGACCTTGACGGACGGCAAGCACA